ACACACCCCAGCTCTGTCCCCCTGCTGACTCATCTCCAGCTTCTCATCCACTGGAACCCCCAGGTCCTTTTCTGCCGAACGGCTGCTTAGCCCGTCGGTCCCCAGCCTGTAACAATGCTTGGGATTCTTCCGCCCCAAGGGCAGGACTCTGCACTTGTCCTTGTTGAACCTCATCCGATTGTTTTTGGCCCAATCCTCCAATTTGTCTAGGTCACTCTGGACCCTGCCTGCCCTCCAACGTACCTACCTCTCCCCCTCGCTTAGTGTCCTCCGTGAACTTGCTGAGGGGACAACCCAGCCCCTCCTCCAGGTCATTCAGAAAGATGTTGAACCAAACCGGCCTCAGAACCGACCCTGGAGGTGCTCTGCTTGAAACCGCCAACCTTGCCGAAGGTCTCCCAACGGGTCTGCAAGGAGAATCCAAATCTCCTGCATTCCAGTCCAGGGCTCTACCCACTAGGTTCCACTGCCTCACTGAGCATTATGCTCCCACTCTGATATTGTCTTCTCCAAGGTGGGGGAAACCGAGATTCACCGACCCCCAGCGGATAGTTACTGGGGGTGCCATGATGTCCCACTAAAGCACAAGGGTCTGTATTGCTATCAGCAACCTACCAGCCACGGCATAGGTCTCGTCTCCACTATGCTGGGGATGGATTGACTGTCGATTTATCATAGAATCATAGAATCATAGAATAATAGGACTGGAAGGGACCTCAAGAGGTCATCGAGTCCAGCCCCCCGCCCTCAAGGCAGGACCAAGCTCCGTCTACACCATCCCTGACAGATGTCTATCTAACCTGTTCTTAAATATCTCCAGAGAGATCATGTCTACTTAGACGCGATAAATCAATCTCTGAGTGTGCTCCCCTCGACACCAGTACTCCACCAGGACGAAAAGAGTAGCCAGCACCGTTAGGAGAGCAGACCCCGCTGACTTTACTGCATGCAAGACGCTGCGGTGAGTATATCTACTTCAGCTACGCTATTTGCATAGCTGGAGTAGATTGATGGCGGGGGTTAGCGTAGACAAGGCCTCGGTTCATGCCTTTATGCCCGTCACCTTAGCATCTGGGCACACACCACCTTGGACTCTTAAACCACCTAGAAGCTTAAGAAACAGGACTGTATCCACCACATTTCAAGAAAAATGTGGAGAAACGGGAGAGGGTCCAGTGAAGCGCAACACAAATAAAGATCTAGATCTAAATAAAGATGTTTCTCAACCTTTCTTTATAAAGTACCCCTTTAAAAAACAATTATAAGTACCCCCAGTATCTACAGTTTTCAGACACACACACATTTTTTTTTGCCATTGCAACGTAGTTGTTTAAACAACTTAATCGTAGCCAGGCGGGTGATGACATTTTTGGGTGTAAAAAGTACAAAAATAATAAAACGCTGTAAAACAAAAATTCTGTTTTCTCCAAATTTGAGTTGTGTTGACGTACCTCCCCCAGACTTCTCTGCAGTACCCCTAAGGGTGCTCGTACCACTGCTTGAGAAACACTGATCTAGAAGACATGAGCTATGAGGGGAGGCTGAAAGAACTGGGCTTGTTTAGTTTAGAAAAGAGCAGACTGAGAGGGGACAGGAGAGCAGTTTTCAAGGACCTAAAAGGGTGTGACAAGGAGGAGGGAGAAAATTGTTCTGCTTGGCCTCTGAGGATAGGGCAAGAAGCAAGGGGTTTAAATTGCAGCAAGGGAGGTTTGGGTGGGACGTTAGGAAAACTTTCCCATCAGGGTGGTGAAACACTGGAATAAGTTGCCCAGGGAGGTAGTGGAATCTCCATCACGGGAGATATTTAAGAGCAGGTTGGACAGACACTGGTCAGGGATGGTCCAGATGGTGCTAGGTCCTGCCGTGAGGGCAGGGGGCTGGACTTGATGACCTCTCGAGGTCCTTGCGGTTCTAGGGTTCTGTGACTCACTGGAAGGAGCCTTCTCCATCACAGACACCACCCCCTCCAGCATAATTCTAGAGCGCAGTCACTCTGCAAGCCCAGCTCTTTCAATCTCTCGCGCCATCAGCTCGCCTGTCCTCTGACCAGCCTAGCAGCCTTGTCCTGCACCTGCCCCCGAGGGAGCTGCTCTCTCCCATACAGCACCAGACACAGCCCCGGCCGCTCGGCCCCACATTTCCACCGCAAATGTTCCTGGGGCATTATGCCGGCCACAGATTCCACCCAGTGATCCCTGCTGCGCTGATGCACGTTCTGGGGGTCGAACTAGGGCAGAGAAAAAGACACCCCATCTCCAAGCGAGGCAGGGTCTGCAATTTTCCTGCCTGGGAAAAACATGCATCCAATTTCCAGCCTGAATTTCCCTTGCTTCTGCTCCAGCCATTCGCTCCCTAGTTCCTCTGCCGCTTGTAACACAGAATACAGCCCCCCCCCCTCACCCGCAGGGGGCACAGGCCCAGGGGCTGCCCTCATTCCACTTCTGCAAAGCAGCTTAGGGATTTGAGCTTCCGATTTCTCGGCACTGCGGCAGCACTGCTCTCCTAGCTCAAGGTTAACGGATCTGGCCGTCGGCATCTCACCAGGAAATCACAGCCTGTGTGGGGATGAGTGGTGTGTCTTCAGTGGATGGGCGTGCACATGTATGGAGCATGTGTTGCGCGTCCGTGTGTGTGCGGTGTGTGTATGTAGGAAGTGCTCGTTGCACATGAGCATATGCATGTGCATGCGTGTTGCGTGTCTATGGCATGTGATTGTATGCATGTATATTCTGTGTGTATTGAATGCACATTGCAAGCTAAATGTATTGTGTGCATCAAGTGTATATTGGATGTGATTGCATATGTGCGTTGTGTGTGTCTATTGTGTGTGATTGTCTATGTGTGCACTGAATGTGTACTGTGTGTGTTGAGTGTATATTGCGTTTGATTGCATATATGTGTATGGAATGTGTACTGTGTGTATTTAGTATATATTGCATGGGATTGCATGTGTGTGTTGTGTGTGTGATTGTATACATGTTATGGGATGTGTACTGTGTGTATTGAGTATATATTGCACGTATGTGTTGTGTGTATTGAATGTGTGATTGTTGTGTGTATTGAATATATATTTAATGGGATTGCATGTGTGTTGTGTGTGTTCTGAGTGTGGGATTGTTATGTGTATCAGATATATATTGAATGGGAGTCCACGTATGTTGTGTGTGTACTGAGTGTGGGATTGTTGTGTGTATTGAATATATATTGAATGGGATTGCATGTGTGTTGTGTGTGTTCTGAGTATGGGATTGTTATGTGTATCAGATATATACTGAATGGGATTCCATGTGTGTTGTGTATGTACTGAGTGTGGGATTGTTGTGTGTATTGAATATATATTGAATGGGATTGCATGTGTGTTGTGTGTGTACTGACTGTGTGATTGTATACGTGTGTACTGAACGTGTACTCTGTGTGTTGAGCGTATATTGCATGGGATTGTGTATTTTTATATGAGACAGCTGAAGAGCCAATCAGGATGCAGAGATCTGCCTATTTTGCCTCTTGACTTCACCTAACTTTATTTTTGGCTGCTAGGGAGCCAATCAGGACGCAGAGCTCTGCCCGCGCAATGCAGCTGGCCAACATGTCCCAGGGCCCCGCCTAGCCAAGCTTTGAGGCCTGGGACAATAGCCAGAGTGGCCAACCTGGTTTCCTCCTCGTTAACAAGGCCCATCAGTGCCACCACGCAGCCGGAGCCATGGACCCCGAGTCTTCCCCGGGACGTCCTGCCCTCGAGCCCAGTCCAGCAACTCTCATGCAGAGTGGGCTGCTCCCACGGTGCCGACGCCACACCCCAGCATCCCAGCTGCTCGTTAAATAATTTCCTCGTTACTATTGCAGCTTAGCATAACGACCCCCTCTCCCCGCTCCGCGTCGTCAGCAGCCTTCACATTCAAGGACCAACGCACGGAACCTCTGCCGCTTTGCTTAAGGGAGTCGCTCCATGGCTGGCAGCAGTAGCAGGTTGTTGTATAGATCGCTCACTAGCAGAGGAGGCTTGGCACAAGTGAGTTATATCCGCTGCTGCCATGGCTGAATCTGTGGTATGAAGCTGATTACCAATGGGAGAGGAGGCGTGACCATGAGGTTACCAATGGGAGGGGAGGCGTGGCTACATTGCGTCTCTTATTTCGAATCTATCTCGAAATGGCTTGTTTTGGCATTTGGCAGTGCCAAATTTTGAAATAACGCGCTTTTTCGGGCCATCCCTTATCCCTCATACAACGAAATTTACCAGGATGGCGAAATAGCGCTCCCGTTATCTCGAAAAACATTTAGAAATAGCAGGCGACTTGTATAGACGCAGGGTAGCTATGTCAAGATACCTCCAGTACCCCAAAATAGCCATGCCGTGTAGGCATACCCAATATTAATTGTGTTGAGCGTCTGGTCACCATTAACCAGTTTAGTGAAGCAAAAGAGGTGTCAAACCCCCTCGCCATTCTTGCTGTCCACACTTATTCGCTCTCTTTCCCCCCGATCAAAGGACCCGCACTTGCTCTTCCACCATGTATATTTCAAGAGCTTCTTCCTCTGGCCTCATACGTCCCTTGTTTGGTGCCTTAGTCTTCCTGATTTTGCCTCTGCAGGCTTGAGCGGTTCTTATGTATTCCTCCCTAGTCAGCTGTCCACTTGGTGCAGCTTCCCGTTTTCATTTTCAGGCCAGTAAAGGGCCCCTCCCCGAGCCATACTCTTCGTCCTATCTTCTTCGCAGCAAGGTGGCCGGCAGTTGTGCGCTGTGTATTGTCTCCTTGAACCAACTCTCCCAAAATCCTCCGTCCCTTAGATTTCCCTCCCGAGGGACCTCCCCTACCAGTTCTCTGAGGTGGGTAAGGACTTTTCTCTATGGGCCTTCTTCTACCACAACCATAAGGAGGGGGGAGGGATAGCTCAGTGGTTTGCGCATTGGCCTGTTAAATCCAGGATTGTGAGTTCAATCCTTGCAGAGGCCATTTAGGGAGTTGGGGCAAACATTTGTCAGGGATGGTACTTGGTCCTGCTGTGAAGGGAGGGGACTGGAGTCAATGACCCACAAGGTCCCTTCCAGTCCTAGGAGCTAGCCAATCTCCTATAACTTAAGAATGGTCCATCCAGCCCAGTATCCAGTCTGCTGACAGTGGCCAATTGCAGCCACAGTGACTCTTGCACCTTTCATGGTCACTTCCACTTGCCTTCCCGTTCACTACCTCTTCCTCCCTGTTGGTCAGAATCAAATCTGAAATAGCTGCCTACTGGTTACATCCTCCACTTTCTGAAGCAAGAAGCTGCCCCGATACCCTGCAAGAACTTACCAGGGAGTTTGAGGTTGGCCATGTGGCTTCCCCAGAAGATACCTGGGTCGTTAAAGTCCCTCATTACTACTCAACATTCAGGCTCCTCCATCCACCTGCTCTTCCTGGTTCTCCAGTGTAGACCCCCTACTATGACATCGCCTTGTTTTTCCCCTTTATGCACTAGGGCCATGTCTACACAAGGGCTGTGTCTACACTGGCAAGTTATTCCAGAAAATCAGCCACTTTTCCAGAAAAACTTGCCAGCTGTCTACACTGGCCGCTTGAATTTCCAGAAAAGCACTGATGATCTAATGTAAAATCATCAGTGCTTTTCCGGAAAAACTATACTGCTCCCGTTCGGGCAAAAGTCTTTTTCCGGAAAACTGTTCCAGAAAAGGGCCAGTGTAGACAGCACAGTAGTGTTTTCCGCAAAAAAGCCCTGATCGCGAAAATGGCGATTGGGGCTTTTTTGCGCAAAAGCGCGTCTAGATTGGCCATGGATGCTTTTTTGCAAAAAGTGCTTTTCCGGAAAAGCGTCCTGCCAATCTAGATGCTCTTTTCCGAAAATGCTTTTAACGGAAAACTTTTCCATTAAAAGCATTTCCGGAAAATCATGCCAGTGCAGACGTAGCCAAGGAGATTATTTCGAATTTACTAAATTCAACTGCTGGGTGCCTGATTTTACAAATGTGAAGTTCTGCGTCCTCACTACGGGAAAGACTCGAATGGAGTCCGAAGCAGGCTCCATTAATGTGGACGTGCTACCTCGGACTCAGACCCTCAGGCCTCCCGGAAGCCAATTAGTTTCAATTAGCGGCACCAGCACGTCCCCATGAATGCTACTTAGGACTTACACGTTCGGGACTAAGCACATAAGAAACCAAAGGTCCATCCAGCCCAGTGTCCTGTCTGGACAGTGACCAATGCCAGATGCCCCAGAGAAAGAGAACACAACAGGTAATCCTCATGTGATCCCTATCCTGTCATCCATCTCCAGACAAGCAGAGGCCTGGGACACCATTCCTACCCAGCCTAGCTAATAGCCATGGATGGACCTAACCTCCATGAATCTATCTAGCTCTTTTTTGAACCCTGTTACAGTCCTAGCCTTCACTGCATCCTCTGGCGAGGAGTTCCACAGGTTGACTGTGCGCAGTGTGAAGAAAAACTTCCTTTGGTTTGTTTTAAACCTGCTCCCTATTAGTTTCACTTAGTGACCCCTAGTTCTTATATTGTGAACAAGTAAATAACTTTTCCTTATTCATTTTTTCCACCCCAGTGGTAATTTTATACGCCTCTAACCTATCCCCCCTTCGTCTCCTCTTTCCTAAGCTGAAACCTCCAAGTCTTTTTAATCTCGCTTCGTATGGGACTAGCGTTATTCCCCGTGAAAAGCAGGACTGCAGGGTCCATAGCGTTATTCCTCGTGAAAAGCAGGACTGCAGGGTCCGAATTCCGTACCCCCTCATTCTGCAATCACAGGCTTGGGAGTGTGGAGGCACCGCCTACAAATTTGAGCTTGGGGGCCTAATTTCGGACTAAGGTCCTAGTGTGGACCAGGCCTAGGTGCCTGCTAGTTCTGCCACGTGGAAGCAGGGCTGTGATTACCTGTCTCCCCAGCGGCCGCTTCACACCAGCCCCTGTCCAGTGCACCCTTCCGAGCTGGGAGTTGAGGGCCCATGGAGGGGTGAGCCCGTATCGCCTATCCTCCTGCAGGGGGTCCGCCCCGCCTTGAGACCCTGGCATGGCTCCAGCCTCCCTGAGCGGCTTGGCGGGGAGGCTTCTCAGCCCAAATCCACTTAAAGAGACACCTCTGGGGGAGCTTAAGCCAGTTAAGTCGTCTCAGGAGGCAATAGATTCCAGGCTGATCTGCACGGAGCATCTGCCTCCACCAGAACCTTAGCCACGGACCGGGACCTGGCCCCTGCCCTGCCTCCGGGGAACCCTGATCCCTGGGAGATTCACACCTGAATTTACCTCCCACCCCAGCCAGGCCACTGGGGCCTCCTGACTGGGGTTCAGCCATGGTGGGCAGGGACCCCAGGGTTGTGTCGCTGGGCGCCAGCCCTGGCCTGTGGAGGGCGCAGACACAGGCCCCACCCGGGGGAGCAGGGCCTCAGAACCACATGCAGCCCCAGAGGCAAGAGAGGGCCAGAGGAGATAGCTTAGAGTCCACGTCCCTTTAAGGCATCGCCCCTCACCCTTCTGGGCGAGGGAGGCACATTCCGGGACAGAACTTCCAGGACTCCAGAGTTCTGTTCCCAGTGCTAGGAGGGGAGTGGAAGCCAGTGGTTAGAGCCAGGGGCACTAAGGGTCAGGAATCCAGGTCCTATTCCCGGCCCCTGTGAAGGGAGCAGCCACCCCTGGCATTTTTCGGCCCCAAACCCCATTTGTCTTCAGCAAAGGTACCGTATGCTGCTTACACGAGGGGGAGATGCATGCATGGGTGGGCGGGCAGGTGGGGATTTCTGCTCCTAATTATTAGGTCTGTTATGGGGCTACATGCTGCCCAGACACACAGTGACCGAGATCAGGGCCCGTCGGGC